AACAAAGCAAACTGGAACAATCCACTTCTTTATTTTAAAAATTAGTAGTAGAACTACAGTGACAGAGATCTCCAACTGAGTTGTATGAGCATCTGACCCTCCATTAGTGAACAGTTAGAAGGAAATGGCAAAGGTAAGAGACCAGAGAATAAAGTACAAAACATTTTTTAATTTTAGACTACTGTGAACAAGAACAAAACATTTTTTAATTTTAAAAATTAGAAGTAGAACTACAGTGACAGAGATCTCCACTGAGTTGTCCTAGCAGCTGACCCTCCATTAGTTAAATTCAAAATCTCTGGGGCTGATTCTGTAGAGCCTTTAAGCCCATGCATTACCTTTAGAAGGGAAGAGTAGTCAGTAGTGCTTTGTTGAATATTTGCCTGTGTTCTAGGGGCAAGACCAAAGAGCCAGTGAAAGTGCCTGGGACTCTTTCAGTGACACCAGCAGACCTGCTGCTCAGACCTAAAATCAGCTTAGATTTTTGATTCTCAAAACTAATGCCAAAAGCACAGTGTTTCTATTTAACGGTGCTGTCCTTTAAGGGGCTGTGTTTGCTCAGCTCTCTCAAAGGCAGTGGAAATTCAGGGCACTCAGCGGTTTGTGTACCTGAGCCTGGAATGATGTTTCCATGGCTTTGTATAATACTAATAAATATTGTTTTCATACCTCCCACCTTATGTCTTTGTTCTAAGGCGGATACTGACTATAGTTTCCATGAAGAAAATCTTGTATTTTCCACATTGGATCTTTTTTTTGCTGGAACTGAAACAACATCTACAACCATCCTCTGGGCTCTGCTGTACATGGCCACAAATCCAGAGATTCAAGGTAAATGGTCAAGGTTTCAGTTTGTAAGGTCATAATATCTCTTGAATTTCTGCCCTTAGCCCTTGCTGCATCAGGTTTTTCACAGAACTCAGAATGTTGGTTTATAAACAGTCTGAGCAAAGATGCTTTCTTCCCACAGTTGCCATTTCCCCGCATTCAGAAACCCTTTCCTTTTTTCCCCTTTTTCTCACTCAGTTACACCCCCAGCATCTAGTGCAGAGTTAAGGAGTGCAAGCCACAGCTCGAAAAACCTTGATATAAGAGGAAGTTGGTTTTCTGAATAATGCACAGGACTGGGATTTAAAACTCCCTAATCCTAGTCCAGGTTCTGCTTCAGACTTCCTGTGTGACACTGGGTACAACATTTAACTCTTCCATGCCTGTAAATGTAGCTTCATGATTTTTAAAATGTGGACCATGGGCAGTGTCCTCTTCAGCCTTCAGATGTGAGCTACAGAGGCAACAAGAGTGGAGTATATAAATGCTTCTTGCATTCCGTGTGAGTATTAAAGGAGGTTTTCCTATTATAATTCAATTACACTTAAAAATGGTTCTCATCTCTCTCTCATTGCATTAGTCTCTGCCTAATCAGCTGCAGTTTTCTTATGTATTTGTATATTTAGATCTACATTGCTCACTGATACCCTTTTCAAAGCGTAAATAGAGTGTTCTTAGAAATACCTTGAATCATTGAACTCTAAACCCTGCCCAGTTTAAGCCTGTTGTTCCATGAACATATTGTTTGTTCTCATACCCATGATGACCTCTGCTCTTTTCCTAGAGAGAGTGCAAGCAGAGATTGACACAGTGATTGGCCAGTCTCGACAGCCCGCCCTAGGGGACAGAGATAACATGCCGTACACCAATGCAGTTATTCACGAAGTGCAAAGGATAAGCAACATTTTGCCTTTCAGTGTGCCTAGAATTGCAACAAGGGATACAACACTGGCTGGATACCAAGTGCCAAAAGTAAGTTGGAAGGAAATGTATCTTTCATTTCTCATCTTGGTTTAAGAACTTAATAGAGATGAGCCCAATGAAACATCAAAGACAAATACACCTTTGCCCTAAGGGGGGCCAGTTCCAAATCTGAACCCATTTTGGGACCCAACCCAGATACAGGGCTGCATTTGAATAATGGCCCCTATTTTTAAGTATCGGGCTATAATTCCCTAACCAAAAGCTTGATACTCACATTCCCAAGCTTTGAGACAGTTGAAATCCAGATCAGAATTTTGCATCTATCTTCATAAAACATGGTGTAAGTGATTTATTTTAACTGCATGAAACCCTAGTAAAGGGACTAGGAATTAGGTCCAGCACAAGTTCACCACTGTGGCTATTGTTCATGAAAGGTCATCCAGGCTCTTATATCCAGAAACTTAAAGGTATATAGGTGCCTAACTCTTTTGGAAACCAGCAGGAGTTATGTGCCTAAATACCTTACAGGGTCTGGGCCTTGGTGTCTGCAGATGGGAGAGGCTGATTTTTATTGACAGGTGGGGAATACCTCATCTTCAGCAGCTCCAGAATTCTGGACTGCTTTCATCATAAGCCACAGCATTTCTGACCTCACCTCACCATGCTGCTGAGCCACAATTTCTTCCCATGGAAGGGAGCAGGCTGAAATTCCTAACCGGGTTCCTAGTGTATGTTTAGCAGAAGCTCTCCTCGCGTCCTAACCTCTGGTCACATTCTTCTTCTCCAGCTTGTAGACTAATGCTCAGAAAAATGGGGACTCACCCATGCTTGAAGGCAGTAAGCTCATTCTGGAGTTGAGCCAGGCAGTGAACCATTCTACCAGTTGGTGGGCTGCAGGAAACCATTGCTTGTGGCGAGCTTCCATTCTTGAAACACAAAACCCTCATTAATACAACTTAAGGGAAATGTGTGTACACAATAGCAGGAAGAGAGTGAATTGTATCTGCAAACAGCAACAAGGAGTGCAAAAAAAAACATTAATGCACACAAGTGTTAGTTTGCAGGAGCACTATAGATACATTCCATACCAGTGGTGGGCAATCTGTGGCCCACAAGATATTGTGTTTCTTGTTGCCCTTGTGCAGGGTTGCCAAATTATGTTAGTTTCTGTCCATATAGGATTTTTTTTCCTACTGGGATTGTTAGAGTGGCATGCACATAGACAAGGGCACATAAAGTGAGACACAGGCTCATTGCACACAACATTGACTGAGAGCCATATGCTGCCTCTGCATCTAATCAAAGTTCCACTGTGGATGAGTCTGTATAAACACCAGGAGGTGGATTAGAACCTGGGCCTTCTAAAGCCAACTATAGGCACCGCTACCCTCTGAGCTAAGTGCCAGCAGGCTCTTTGCCTATGCTATAGAGTTCTCTTGATCTTAACTGTTGCTGTGGTCTCGGTACCACACTAGGGCTATGTCTACACTAGTGGCTCCTTGCGCAAGAACTTCTTGCGCAAGGGTTCTTGTGCAAGGAGTTCTGCGCAAGAACACGTCCACACTGCCATGTGCGAGATGTGCTTTTGCGCAAGGGCGCCCATGGCAGTGTGGATGCACGGCAGGGATTCTTGCGCAATAAAACTCTTTAGCTAAAATAGCTTTCTTGTACAAGAGAGCGTCCACACTTGTGCTTCTTGCGCAAGAGCTATGCTCTTTTCTTACAAGTGGAAGCTGTCTTGGCAAGAGCTCTTGCACAAAAGAACTTACACTTGTAAGAAAAGAGTGTAGCTCTTACGCAAGATGCCGTCTCTTACCACGCCGTACTGTACATCTTCTTTTGCAGGAGCGGGTGGGCAGTGTGGATGCACTGCAGATTATTGCACAAGAACAGCCATTCTTGTGCATGAAGCCACAAGTGTAGACATAGCCTAGGTGCGTGGGTTACATCTATATACCCCACAAATTTTAGGTACACCAGTGCAGTTAGCAAGAGACCTATCCCAAGAGACCATCTTGGTTACAACAACCTTGCAGTCCACTGAGATGAAGGATGCCCTCCAGTGTGTCCCACTAACTAGCCTAGGTTGCCCATTGCTGTTTTGTATATGTATGTCTGTCATACAAGACAAACAGCCACCACATCCATGAAAATTTGGCTTTTAAAAAAGAAACGTGAGTGGGTAGGTTTTGCTAATTTTTGACTTTTTATGTTGTATAAAGGATACCTAAGAGTTTATCGTTTGTTTTGGTTTTTATTTAAGAAATTCAATCTTGCCTACTCTGTTTTTCCTAGGAGATGCAGGAGAACTAGTAGGTCCATAGTATTGCACCTATGAAGGAAATAAACCTGCTCAGTTGAGTTAGGAAGTGATTTTTAGTCAGACTATTGTCTGTTTTGTTTGTCTGATGTGATATTAACACCTGTTTAACTCAAATGCTTAAAAACAGTTGGAAGAAATGTTTTCTTTCTTCAAAGATTAACACTCTTCTGCTTCCCTTAAATCTGTGATGACTCCCATTCTGTTCATTCTGGCTCCCCCAGAGATATCACCAGCAAAACCAAGGAAAGTCAGATCTGAGATTTGAGATGAATATAATATAAAGAACTGGGAAGAAAATTATCCCTTAAAAAATCCTGTTGGCTCTTTTGTATATATATTAAAAGATTAAAAATAAACAACCTCTTTGTAGGTCACAATTAAAAATAGAATAGGTGTAAATTCCTTTTGTTCTCTTTTTTTAGGGTACTGTTTTAATTTTCAATTTAACATCAGTGCTGTTTGACAAGAATGAGTGGGAAACCCCTCATACTTTTAATCCTAAGCATTTTCTGGAGAACGGTCAATTCAAGAAGAGAGACACTTTCCTCCCATTCTCTGCAGGTGAGATGTGTATGATACTATCCATTACATTATAGAACCAAGTCTTGGGCTCTCTCCTTTTTCATGTTAGGCAAAAACCCACAGGCTGCATCTAGACTGGCATGATTTTGCGCAAATACGTTTAACGGAAAAGTTTTTCCGTTAAAAGTAATTGAGTAAAAGAGCGTCTACACTGGCACAGATACTTTTGCGCAAAAGCATCTGTGCTAATGTAGACGATCTCTTGCGCAAGAAAGCTCCGATGACCATTTTAGCCATCGGGTTTTCTTGCACTAGAAATTAACATGGCTGTCTACAATGGCCCTCTTGCACAAGAATACTTGCGCAAGAGGGCTTATCCTTGAGTAGGAGCGTCGGAGTATTTGCGCAAGAAGCACTGATTTTGTACAGTACAAAGTCAGGGTTCTTGCGCAAATACTCGTGGCCAGTGTAAACAGTGCTCTTTCAACACATCCCTTATTCCTCAAAGAGTGTGTCCACTTTTTCGAAAAATGTTCTGAAAAAGCAGACACATTCCTTAGGAAAGCAGTGCAGTCTAGACATAGCCTGAGTCTCTTTGGAAAATGGAAAGCTCAAAAATGAAAATTATGAGAAGCGTTTCTGTCTCTGTCCAGCTTGCACAGTTCTTTTGAAAGGTCATTGTTGAAAAGTGCTCTCTCCTAAAACAGGGCTAGACACAACAATAGCAACAAAGGAATTATAGTGTAGACATAACCAAAAGTAGTAGAAAGAGGAAGTAGCCTACCTCACTTATTGGGAACGTCAGAGTGAGGACAAGACTTGCCTTCCTCACATTTCGTTATTCCTTTTCACTTATTGGAAGAGGAGGATGATAAAAATGTTGGAGATCCCTGAAGCACCCTCCTAAAAAACAACGAACCATTAGAATATTTTACTATAAGATGTGATGGATTCTCCATCACTTTGATTCATTAAGCACCTGATTGCACACTGTTTAAGTCAATAGGAACTTTAGCATTAACTTATTTGGGCACAGGATCGGGTCTTAAATTAAACCTGGAGGATTTCAAAATGCCGTGCTCTATGATCATCACAAATTGCTGGGCATGATATAGCAATCTCTGGGTGACATTCTATGGTCTGTTATAGGCAGGAGATAGATACACCTGATGGTCTCTTCTGGCTTTAAATATCTGTGAAAATGAAGAAAGGAAACAGAGGAGAATCAGTTTGCATCCTCCCATGAATGTCATTTTAATACTACTGGAGTATCAACCCCTAAACCCAGTTTGATTTAGGATACAAACTTTACAGCTAGCCCATTTTTCTCTGATGGCATAGACTTGACTCTGTCATTATAGCCTCACATCTTTTTGGGGAAGTTCAGCTTTAAAGCCAAACTTTGTAGATTAGACTTCTCTCTGATTCTTGCTCAAAAGGCTTGCCAGTTAGGGTACATTTACACAGCAACATTATTTTGAAATAACTAGCGTTATTTTGAAATAACTTAGTCCGTGTCTACATAGAAGGCAATTATTTCAAAATAATGTTGAAATACTTTCAAGCTGGAGACTGCTTACTCTAAGTCCTGTGACACTCACTGTACAAGGAGTAAGGGAAGTCAGAGGAAGAGTGCTCTATTTTGAAATAAGTGCTGTGTAGACACTCATCGAAATAAGGTATTTTGAAATAAGCTATGCAATTGATATAGCTCAATTTGTATCGCTTATTTTGAGTTAAGCCCTCCTGTGTAGACGCACCTGTGTAGATGTAGATTTTTGTGTTTTGCCCACATGATCAATAGCATAAAAAAAAGGTTCTGAAAATCAAAATTTCATTCAAATATGGATTTTCACCTGAATATACATTAAAACTGGTGGTTCAGTGTCTTTTTCAAGAAACAGTTAGAGCACGTCTAAAGTACATTCCTCTTCCAAAAAAGAAATATAAATGAGCCAGATCAAAGTGCAAATGAAGTCGGGATTTAAATATCCTGCACTTCATTTGCATAATGAGTACCAAGCGCTTTTTCGAAAAAGGTTTTTTTTCAAAAGAACCCCATCTAGACAGTGTTCTCACTTTTGAAAAACCCTTTTTCAAAAAAGCACTCAGAACTCATTATGCAAGTGAAGCGCAGGATTTTTAAATCTCTGTTTCCTTTTCACTTTCGATCAGGCTCATTTACATTCCTCTATCGAAAGAGGAATGTAGTTTAGACGTGCTCCTATTTTCACCTACTTTTCCAGAATTTCAAGGGGCCAGTGTAGTCAGCTGGCAAGTTATTCTGGAAAATCGGGTGATTTTCCGGAATAAGTGGCCAGTGTAGACACAGCCAACGTGTGTGTGTGGTTAAGAATGAAATATTGTTTCTCTTTTTATGCAGTTTATCTATAAATTCAGGGCCACCCATTTCCCTTCTTTAGACATACTGCTGGCTCGATTTGCATATGTTCAGCGGTCCATGTATTATGTCAATGAGAAACTAGGCCAGGGAAAGATTACATCTGACCTGTGTTATTTTAACTTTTTAATCAAGACCTAATACAGCGGTGTGCAGCGTAGGTGTTAGGGAAGTAAGACATCAGCTAGACAGGTGCGGGCGATAATTTTTCCTGCGTGGCCACCTCGGAAGGGGCGGGGCCTAAACAGGAAGGGGTGGGGCTACCCCATCCCCAGACCATAGCGGGTCTGGGGGCAGGGGAGTGTGGGAAACCTTCCCCCCACCCTGTGAGCAGCACACGGCACTTTGAAGTGCTGCAGGCTCCTCGCAGGGCTGAGGCAGGGAGAAGGAAGCTTCATTCAGTTCCCCCGCCCCCAGGCCCTGATTGCCTTGAGGGCGGGGGAGTGCGCAAAGCCTCTTCTGCTCTCGCACCCTCCCTGGGAGCTGCATGCGGTGCTTCCAAGTGCCATGTGCTCCTGATACCAAAGTACTGATGTAATGAATGCAAATCTTTGCATCCACAGTTATAAATAAAGGAAATTTTAGTAATAAATGCACCAAATGGTGAATCAGAAGGAGTGAGGATTGATGATAAAACCATCTCTTCTTCCCCACAGTTCTGAAATTGCTGCCTTGGAAAATTAACACCTCATTTGTCATGAGACCTAAACTGTTCTGACAAGAACCTTTGGCTGATGTGCACAACTGTTTTCTTTTCAGGAAAGCGGGGTTGCCTTGGTGAGCAGCTGGCTAGAACAGAGCTGTTCCTGTTCTTCACCATCCTCCTTCAGAAATTCACATTCCAAGCTCCAAAGGACGTAAAGCTAAGCCTTGAATACAGAATGGGAATTACTCTCCACCCATTGCCATACCAAATCTGTGCAGTGTCTCGGTAGGGGAAA